ACTCGATGACTCACCACTGTACCAGAACCGAAGACGCCCAGAAGGCGGGGGCGATCACGGACCGCATCGGTACCATTGGTTTTGGTTGTTTTTCGATTCCGAAACGTGCCACCACGGGACTCTTCCTGAAGAAAACCACGTTAACGCTCCACCCGTCCACGCCCCAGCAGAAATTCCGTGGTTTGCAATTCCAAAATTTAAAATGTGGAACCCGCGGGAACCGTAACGATAACTTCTTTTATACCGCCTTGCAGTGGCGTCTTTTTACGGGTGCGAAACGTGATCACTGACGAAAGTTGAAGAGCGATTGCTGGCTGTGATCGTGAAAGTGATGAAGCAACCGGCGCTTCTGGAGTACCTCTCCACGACCATATAAACAATCAGACTCTCCGTCAGATGAGCGGTGCGGGCAGAATGAATGTGTCATGGTGACCACGTGAAAATGTTTATATTCTCATCCGATGGGCGGGGCTTGTCTTGCTTGCATTGGTGTCGCATATCTATGGGTGGTACGAGCGTGAAGTTGAACAGTAACTGAAGCAGTGGTGGATGCCCGGGAACAGAGATGACTGTACATGCCGAAGGCAAATGGTTGAAGATAGAAAAGCCCGGAATTGCGGAATCACTGGTCACCCAGTAGAACGTGGTCCGAGCGATCGCCGCTGAACCAGCGCTGCTTATCGGACGTATTCATAGACAGATTCAGGGCAGTCTCCTGCGGGAATAGTGCGCGACAGGGGATATTGAACAGAGTTTTCTGTAGTAAAACAGATGCTACCTGAGCCTTTGGGAGGGGGTACCCCTCGTCCGTTGGATCTGCCAGTGGAAATATTCGATATATTAGGAAGAAATTGAGGAAATGTGGATAACTCGCTGCATCGATAGCGAAACAATTTATGAATTTCGAGCTGCTCTGGGTGCTCCAGAAAGTATGAATAGCTGGCAAGTTCGACGCATTGGCATGTGCTGATGATGCTGTGCTGCTTGAGATTGAGGGTTCAACCACATTCGTTTCGATGGTAAATTGGTACTAGCGCTGCCGTACACTGCTTTGATAATATCACTGAAATTGAAGACGTGTGCAGGAAAATTCCCGGAGTATAGCTCCGTTTGAGTTCACATAGCTAATGCGCACACACAGGCTCGCTTATCTGGGTATCTGAATTAGCACTCACTGCTTTCCCACAATTGACAATTCGAGTTCACATACACATACAGGCTCGCTTATCTGGGTATCTGAATTAGCATTCACTGCTTTCCCACAATTGACAATATTCAACTGTGTCCCTTTCATCGGCTGGCCTACAGCGCCAAACAGACATCCATAGTTTACATTTTTCAAAAATTTCCAAAACACTTCATATACATTTGGTCAGAATTTTTGGGGATTTTGCACCAAATTTTTTTTTTTTCCAGAAATTTTGCTTCAGAAAAAATGAATTTCCGTGGGAATATTCCTGGCTGTTTTGCGTTTCTTCTCGAATCGCCTTGCATCGGTTAATCCTCGATAGGCCTTGGATCGTTTCGAATATTTTTTTAGATTGCGATGGAGTACTTGAGGCCCTCCTGCCGATAGATGTGCAGGCGTATGGCAGCCGCAAGTTCTTCGCAACCGTCCATCTGTCAACATTATTTCGCTTCGAGGATTCCTGCCACTTCCGATAGCTTCGATTCTGAGGTTCTTTTTTTTTTTCCGAAATTCTTGTTATTTTACAACACAATCACATCAATTTGAGCCCTTGGAAAAATTTAAATGCCTTTTAAAAGCTTTTTTGCCAGGTTCCTGCTACGAAAAGTTCCCAAAATTTATTGTAGAGAAGTTTATCACTGCCATTTTTTTTTTTTGTGAAATTGTCATGGTATTGTCTCAGAAATCGATGAGATGCCCCTTTAGCCACTATTTAGGGTTAGGGGAAAATATGAGCAAAAAGCGATGAAAGGGTTGTAAAGAATTATTAAACTTAGAGTAAATGTGGGAAGAATGTGAAGCTGGTGAATAAGATTAAGATGGGGTAGGGGATGGGATTACTGTAGTGAGTCATGAGAAGAAGGAAACGAAAACATCATAAAAACTATATATAACATATTTGTCCTATTTATACCAGATAAGAAATGTTTCGGTCCATTAAGTCATATACATTTCTTACCGTTACCACAATTGAACCTCGTCGTCAGTACGACGATTGTGATAACAATATAATTTAGTAAAGCGTTTTCCTCAGCCTAAAGCAAGGGCTGGATTCAAAACTTTCTGCATGGAAGGCTTTAGCCACAGTTTTCCAGGCCCTAGGATTAGATGCATTTTAAACTTTAACTTGTATTGAGCCCTGGGATTGAATCAAGGATCCATCGTGGTCAATAGGAGCTTGAATATTTTATATTTTGAATATTTCCGGTATACTTTGAAGCTTTGTTTGACTTTTGTAGATTTTTTGAAATTTGGGGATTTGTTGAAAATTTGACTTTTATTGTGGGAAATTTGACACTTCATCCAGATGGGGGAAGGCATCAGGAATTCTTCGTGAGATTTTACCTTTTTTTAAAGAAATATGGACAGAATAGCCCAAGAAATCGAGAATATTACTTATTTCTTTTTAACTGATTTTGTTTTAGCAAGCAAACAGTCCGGCAGTTGCACAAACTGGAGAATCTGCGATGCAGAGCGCCGAAGAGGAGACGAAAATGGTCATGAGGTGAGAAATCTATTTTTTTTGAGGGCCCATTCCATTAATTTCAGGCTCCTGGCTTCGGGAGGCTTCTACTTTGTTGATTTTTTTGACTTTTGGTTATTTTCGGTATTCATGCGCTCATGATTCTGCACCGTAATGCAAAATCAGGGCCGCATGTTAGTGTTGTTTTTTGGGGAAGATTATTTCAAAATTCTGCCTTTGAATATTTGGATTTGTTGAAATTTTGTAACCTCATTCTTCAGTTGGACAGACATACCCTGACATCAATATTAGATATTTTTTATTATGCATTTTTTGCAGCTATGCAATGCAGAAAACCCATATTGACGAGAGGTTGTCTGTGTATGTGTGTGTCTGTGTATGCGACCCGCGTCTGTACCGATTTTTCATCTCGAGACCCACAAAAGCTACGGGGCTGAAACTTGGGGGACTTAATTTACATGCGTGTACGAGCCTCATCTCCTAAATGGGCCCTCTTACCCGCATGGTACCCACGTACGGGCCCGCCAAAATTTTTTTCGGGTAAGTTGTTAACTCGAGAACCTGAAAAGCTAGAAGGCTGAAATTTTAAGGGGATATTCCCCGTCCAAGTAAGTCTCAAAGAGCTCAAACCCAGACATCGGGTATGCGTGGTATCCACGTACGGGCACGTGAAAGTTTTTCGCGGGTAAGTCGGTAACTCAGGAACCAAAGAAGCTAGAAAGCGGAAGTTTTCTTGGGCATTCCCTGTCCACACAAGTCTTAATGAGCTTTTAACCAGTCCCCGGTCATGCGTGGTACCCACGTATGAGTCGCCAAAATTTTTTCGGGTGAGTTGCTAACTCGAGTACCTGAAAAGCTAGAAAGCTGGAATTTTAAGGTGATGTCTCCCACCTAAGTAAGCGTTGATGAGTCCAAACCCTGCCTTCGTGGTACCCACGCACGGGCTCACCAAATTTTTTCTCGGATAAGTTGTTAACTTGAGGACCTGAGAAGCTAGAAGTGTAATTTTAAAAGGATGTTCCCCTTCCATGTAAGTCTCAACGAGCTCAAACCCTGCCGTTGGGTATCCACGTAGGGTCCCATGAAAGTTTTTCGAGGGTCAGACGTTAACTCGAGGACTTGAAAAGCTGGAAGACTGTAATTTTATGGGGATTTTCGTCGTTCTCAAATCCAAACATCGGGTATGCGTGGTACCCACGTACGGGTCCGTGAA